GCCGCTCCTGGCCACCGCGGCCTCGACCTGCTGGGCTCCGGCGATCCTTCCACCTCAGCCTTCTGAGTAGCCGGATTTACAGGCACGCGCTACCACGCCCGGCTGATTTTTTTTTTTTTTAAATTTATTGTAGAGATGAGGTCTTGCCAAGTTGCCCAGGTGGGTCTTGAACCCGCGGGCTCAGGCAATCCGCTCACCTCAGCCTCCCAAAGCACAGGATTACAGGCTGAGCCATTGAGCCCGGCTTGCCTCAGCTTTTCAAGTAGCTGGAACTACAGGCATGTGCTGCCACGCCTGGATAAATTTTTGATTTACTGTAGAGATGAGGTCTCACCAAGTTGCCCAGGCTGGTCTCGAACCCGTGTGCTCAGGCAATCCTTTTGCCTCCTCCTCCCAAAGTGCTGGAATTACAGGTATGAACCACCCTGCTCAGCCTTTCTTTTTTTTTTTTTTGACAGGGTCTGCTGTGTCATCCCAGTTGGGGTACAGTGGTGTGATCATGGCTCATTGCAACCTTGAACTCAGGCTCAAGTGATCCTCCTGCTTCAGCTTCCCAAGTAGCTGGGACCACAGGCATGCACCACCATGCTGGTTAATTTTATTTTTTGTAGAGATGGGATCTCATGATGTCACCCAGGCTGGTCTCGAACTCTTGGCCTCAAGCGATCCTCCTACCTAGGACTTCCAAAGTACTGGGATTACAGGCATGAGCCACAGCACCTGTCCAAGTTTTCTGTCATAATATCACTGAGGTGATAATAAAGATACTGAATGTATAAAATCATCGGACAGTAATATAAGGGCTGGAAAAGTTTTTAATACATTTAGTGTTTGTTCAGAACAGTGAAGAGAGAAGAAACCCCCAAAACACTGTGGTTAATACTGGAAAGTTGTCTACTCAGTCTGCATGTCTCCCAGTGATTCTCAGTTTAATGGAAAGTGGCTGGACACATTGGATGTGGTTCCTTGTATCAAGTCCCAGCCAAGGCAGGGCCATTATTAGTACAGATCTCGACAACCAGTCAAGAAATCACACCAACAATTGGCCAATAAGACCAAGTCATTACACTTTGAGCATGAATTGAGTTTCATCTAATGTTCTTGGTAAACAATCTCAAAAAACACGTATATGTTGTAGATAACTCGGACTATATACAGAATAAAAGAAATATTAAAATTTTGATGCATATCTTTATATTTATTCATTTATATTACAGTACCAGTTGCAAAACATTTTGAATATCATCCTTCCTACTGGAATGTCCAATGAGGCATTTGAAAACTCTGTGAGACAAGACGTGATGCCTTATTCTGTAAAGGCACTCTGCAATTTTTTAATTTTTTTGAGATGAGAGCCTTACTATGTTGCCCAGGCTGGTCTTGAACTCCTGACCTCTAGTGGTCCTCTTGCTTCAGTCTCCCAAAGTGCTGAGATTACAAGCGTGAGCCACCAGGCCTAGCAGTGCCCTCCATATTGTAGGACACCTGCACCCTGGGCCAAGGCTTCCAGGAGCCAAGAACACTGCCCACTGACAGCGATAATCCAGTTAATCCCCATACATTCCAGAATGCTCCCTGGGGACCCGACAGTCTCTCTGTGAACCATTTGTGTGCTCAGTGGTTAAAAGCAGAGGCCGGGTTATTAGAAGGCTTTGGATATCTGAGCCTCAGGAGATTGGGCCAAATACTTACCTTCTCTTGCTGGTGTATGAAGCTTCCTCCTCTTCCAAAGAATGTATGCTGTTACCAGTCCCCCCAAATTACAGATTCAGAGAGGCTGCAGCTTGCCTGAGATCACTAAGAAAGTAAGTGACCATCCGGGATTTCAACCCAGCCTGGGTCCCGACACCTTCACCTTGAACACACTCCTGTGAGATGAATGATCTCATCGCCCCATTTCCCAGGTGCAAAGCGAGGTGCATGGTCGCCAGAGGACCCGCCCACACTGGGAGGAAGTGGCAACTCCGGGTTTGAACCAGCCCTCTCCCACCTCAGAGCCCATGCCTTTCTAAAATTAAACCCGTGGTCTCAAACACCAGGTGCACACAACCAGGGGTTATGAGGATGAGCCAAGAAAACATAACAACCTCTAGCCATATTTATTTTAAAAGGGGCCGGGTGTGGTGGTTCACCCCTGGCACTTTGGGAGGTCGAGGTGAGAGGATTGCTTGAGTCCAGGAGTGTGAGACCAGCCTGGGCAACGTGGCCAGACCTCGTCTCTACAAAAAGTAAAAAAGAAAAAAAAAATTATCCAGGCATGGTGGCGTGTGCCTGTAGTCCCAGCTACTCGGGAAGCTGAGGTGGAAGGATCGCCTCAGCCCGGGAGGTCGAGGCTGTGGTGGGCTGTGATCATGACATTGCACTCCGGCCTCGGCGACAGAGTGAGACCCTCACTCAAAATAAATAAAATGGAATAATTTAAGTTTTATTACTCATATACAGACTGATAGTAGTGCCTGCACATAGCCTATAAATGAATATACACATATTGGGGGTTTACGGTCAAATACTACTCTTAGGAGGTGCATGACCAAACAGGAAGGCTGTCACTGCTTTACTTGCTAAGTGGCAAGGTCTCCCAAAAGCCCCTCCTGCTCCCATCACACACGAGGGGCACCACGAGTAAGTCAAGTGTGGGCTCGGAGCCTGAACACCTGGTTCAAGTCCCTGAGCTCCCACTTCCTAAGCTGTCTGACCTGGTGAGTGACCTCACCATTCTCAGCTTCCTCATCTGTAAAGTGGAAATAATAGCAGCTGTCGCTTCAAAGGGCTGAGGTGAGCCATCCATCAGCTAATCCGGGTGAAACACTCAGAAAGACGCCTGGTATCTACCCAGGAAGTGCGCGGGCAGCGTGAGCTGTGGTCACTGCCAACCCTGCCATGCAAGGGGGAAACACGCGCGGAGAGCCGAAACAATGAGGTAATGAGTGGAGGGGCCCAGAACCCGCTTCTGGACCACCGCGGCCCCTCGGCCCTCCCCGTGTCCGCCTCGGCAAGGCGGGGTCGAGAGCAGCATGCACGCCACAGGGCCGTCCCAGGAGGTCGCGCTCCGTGACCGCCCCGCCTCCCACGCGGGCTTAGGGAGAGGTCCAAAGGCCGGAGAGGCGATGGCCAAGGGACAGAGACCCTGGGCTTCCCGCCGCCCGGGCGTCCGGCAGGCCACCAGGGGCGGGACGGACGCACCCTCTCGTGGCGGAAGCGACCCCAGCAGCCAGGGGTGCCGGCGGCTCACTCCGTGCCAGACCCCGAGGGACTCAGGGATTCCGGAAGGCAAGCGAGGCTCAGGGAAAGCGCGACCCTC